AAAGATTTTATTTATTTATTTGACAGACAGAGATCACAAGCAGACAGAGAGGCAGGCAGAGAGAGAGAGGGAAGCAGGCTCCCCGCCGAGCGGAGAGCCCGATGCAGGACTCGATCCCAGGACCCTGAGATCATGACCTGAGCTGAAGGCAGCGGCTTAACCCACTGAGCCACCCAGGCGCCCTGACTTGTTTGTCTTGAACCATTTCCTAGTTATGTACTTCATGCAAAAATAAATACAAATGTTCTCCACATATTACCAAAGGCTTCCCTCTTCATAGTGTGGTCTGTGCTTGGTTCAGGGAAGGGGGTTAAGACAGGAAAGAAGCTATTGTAATTGAAAACATATCTGAAATCCAGATTGGGAGTAATTGACCAGGTGGAAATTAATCCTAAGGTAAATATATTAGCTTCTCAACTTTTCTAACTGTAAAGGGGAGAAAAGAACAGGGCAGAAAAATGAAAATTTTCAGACTCCAGTTATTAGAGAAGGAAAGGAAAAGGAGGTGGAGAAAGAAATGCCAGAAATAAAACTGGGAACAAAGCAAAAATTGCCAGGAAAATATATGGAAAGCAGACTATCTTTTCATTCTGTGCTTTAACATAGTATAGTGTTATCTTTTTTCTATCGCTTTATTTTTAGTTATTCTAATGCTTTTTTGTTTGAATTTGATACAGGACATGCTAGGAGATTTGTTTACTCCCATAGAGACACCAGAAGCTCAAAACAGAGGCTTTCTCAAGGGACTGTTTGGTGGAAGTGGACAAACATTTGACAGAGAAGAGCTCTGTGAGTAAACTCCTGATTATGAAACTGTACCACAGAAGACCTATTTCTGTGTGTGTGTGTGTGTGTGTGTGTGTAACTTAATGTAATAGGCAGTTTCAAATTCTAGACTAGGGTTTTTTTTTTTTTTTGCTTCTATACCATGAAAATTATTTTTTTTCCAAACATGAATAAAATCAGTTGCTTCATATTAGGAAATAGTTTAACAAAAAACAGTACATGCAGTTCAAACAAATAATGAGTAAGCTAATAAATACATCATTTGCAAATAGATCATACCTGCAAGGCAAGGTGAAGGTAGTTGCTAAATTCTGGAAAAAATGTTTATGAATCCTCCTGCCTTTAACAACTGCTGGGAAGCAGATTCTTTACTCAGAGCACCAAGTTTATCAATGCTACAGAATAAATTAAAATTCTTCCAGTAAACTCGATGAATAATCAAAAAAGAGTAGAAAGACACTAGAGGACATTTTCAGAAAGAATCTATTTCCCAGAATATCTCAACCCTATTTGGTCCTGCAGATCAAAATTCCTTTTCCCTTGAACTTTTAACTACGCAAAAGATCTAGGTGCCTCCATATGATGGACTACTACTCAGCCATAAAAAGAAATGAAATTTAATACATGCTACAACAGGGATGAAACTTGAAGACATCATGCTAAATTAAAGAAGGAAACAAGGCCACATATTGTATGATTCCATTTATATGAAATGTCCAGAATAGGCAAATCCATAGAGACGGAAAGTAGATTAGTGGTTGCCAAGCACTGGGGCAAGTTGGGAGGGGGAGTGACTGCTAATGGGCACAGAGTTTTATTTTGGATTAATGAAAATGTTTTAAAATTAGATAGATAAAATTTGCACAGCTCTGTCAGCACACTAAAACCACCGAGTTATACACTTTGTGTATATAAAGTATGTGAATTATAGCTCAATTAGACTCTTTTTTAAAAAAAATACCTTTTGATATTATTTCTAATATTACATCCTTGAGAATGCTCACTAAATTTCTACCAAGATAGCTGTCTTTCAATAAAAACTTCCCAAAAAAATCATTGAAATTAAACTGAACTTTGTAAATGACAGGGAAATTTTTATTCTTTTATAAAATAACAAAATTTCAACATATGTATACTAATGTCCATCATGCACTCCCTGTTCTCTAGTATTTACTCCCCCCACACACACATATCTTAAAACAGGAACAACAACTGAGGCCTACAAAGGATGACAGCAAGATGAAGAGAGATGTTAAGAATGAAGACTTGGGCAGAAATTTAAACAAATGAACAGACCTAAGTTTGGAACAGACCCTGATATGGGTTAAATATGAGATCACATATATTGTGAGCATCCCAATTCAGCAATGTCAAGAAATGCAATGCCATAGAAGAAATGCAATGCCATATTGCATGGAATCCACATACATATACACAAAGACAGGCAGTAAAAATACGGTTACTTCACAGTATCAGACTCCTTCACAGACATTTTCGTGGGTAAAAGCCAGCATCTCCAAACATACATCCATGATAGGACCAAATATGTCTCTCTCTCTCTCAGTGAGAATTATGACAGAATTTAAGGTAAGTGTTTTGGTGATAAACTTCATCCTAATTACTTGAATTACTGACAATATGTCTTAAATTGCTATGGCTTGAATCCCCAGTTGGGGAAGCTTCAGCGGGAAGAGCATCTCGCAGCCTTGCACAACACATTCCAGGACCAGGTGGTATAGAAGGCATGAAAGGTGCTGCCGGAGGGGTGATGGGAGAGCTGACACGCGCTCGGATCGCACTTGATGAGAGAGGACAGAGGCTAGGAGAGCTGGAGGAGAAGACTGCAGGCATGATGACCAGTGCAGAAGCATTTTCCAAACATGCACATGAGGTAAATGGCTTAATATAGGCATCTCCATACAATAATAACTTGAAACACTGGGCCTTGCACAAGAAAGCCCAGAGATACCACTGTAAATAATCCTGTGTGAGAGCCAGAGTAATCAGGATCTTATTATAAGTATTATGATTCCCCCAGTATTTGGGAGAAAAATGTTTTAAAATACTATATTAATATTTCTTTACCTTAGGAGATAATCTAAAAGAAAATTATTCATTGGTTCTGATACATTGGGTCTATATTATGCATCTGCTACTAAAAATGTGCTTAGGTATATTACATGATCCTCCCCGCTCAACCAAAAAAGGTGGGAGGGGTACTACAAGCTGGAACCCACACACTCCTTTCTGCTTCAGTCATTAAAAATCAGCTGAGTCTTTACAGATTGATTATTTTTAAAAAATCTTTTCATATGTACTTTATTTCAAAAAATAAAGGAAATTTTATAAATTTTGAGATTTAGATCTGCATGATTGGTTCAATATGAGCTTGCTTTGATTAGTACTTTTAAAGATTTTTAAAAACATTTTATTGACTATTTTTTCTTGCAGTTAATGCTGAAATATAAGGATAAGAAATGGTACCAATTCTAAACTTCTAAAGAAGCTGTGGCTGCTTTGAGAAACCATTATTCAGGGAAACAAAATTTATTCCCAGCATCACTATTCAACTTGCTAGAAGCCAGTTTCTTCTACAAAATGTTCCATTACAGTCTATCTGAAATTATCATTAGGGAAATTTATTAGAGACACTGTACAACCCAAAGGCTGGAACCCTGGTTAAAATCCCAAGACACGGATGAATTTGCCTTTTCCTAACATGGAATGGAGCTATCATTTTGGCATGTTGTTTGCTAAGGATTTACATTTAGGAACTATGGGGAGTCCTTCTGATTTGAAAAAATCCTGTACAAACAAAAGCATTAATGCACTTAATGAAAAAAAATCTTTGCATGATAAATTAACATCTTAAGAGGAAAAGAAAAAAAAGCATGTGTGACAGAAGAAAAAAAGATTATGACAAACTATTTTTATAAATTGGGCCACACCTGACAATTTAAAAAATCTGTATTAGAAGATATCAGTGTATTTCAAGTACATTTGCCATACCCAACAGAAAAAGAAAAGAAAACTAGAGTTTTCTTTTCATCTGTAACTTTCATTACACTAGCACATTATTGAATTCTTATGGGAAGTCTGATTGTTTGTCTCTCCATAATATTTTACATCATCACCATTATGAGTCATAATTGAGTATTGCCAGGATAGTAAGTCATTCCTAACAGCTATTTCCATTTGTCACCTTCAGAACAAGTGGCTATTTTTTAGTCATAAACCATGCAGGGTTGGGTCACCTCAGCCTGGCTTGTGCTCTGCAGGGGAGTTGATGATTAAGTTTGGGGAAACTAGACTACAGAAACAGTGCAGTTATCTTTGAGAACTGATTTCACACACTCTGATTTCAGTTTCTAAAGGGATAGATTTTTAATGCTCCATTTGTATCTTTGTCTGCCAATCACACAGTATATTACTGTTCCAGCCCAGTAGTGTCTTCAATCCAAAGGTGCTCTTGCAGCCTGACACTCACAGACCAAACTGGTCATTCTCTTTAGTATGATTCAGTAAAACCTCAGTAAATGTTTTGGGAAAGGGATTCTGATTTATTACATTTCTGATTAACAAGGGCTTTCATTAGTAAATACTTTTTAGTTCAATACTTATTATTGAAAATCTTTGTAAAATGTGGTATTTTTGCTATCTTGGCCTTAGTCACCATTATGGGCAACAGAAATACAGAGAGAGTTTAATGATACAAAATGAATAATTTTGTCACTCATTAGGCTAAATGATATAAGCCACAAATTATGTCAATAGATACCAAACACCTATTCCTTGTTAAAAACACCTTTAAAAGTGAAGTAAGGAATACCCTTAATATGATAAAAGTTACCTGTCATAACAGCAAACTCTAGAGACAAAAGTAAATAAATAAAGACACCTGCTATTATTATTTAACATGATTCTAGAAGCTAAAAGTCATAGAAAATGAATATATGCAGGTTCTAGGACCCATCCTGTAATATGTTGTTCCTTCAAAGAGAATTAAAAAAAAAAAAAATGTGTGCGACTTAATGAATTTTGATTATTCCAGGTCTTACTAGATATATTTTTGTGTTTCCTAAGAATTCACCATTTTTTCTGAAGTCCAGGTTATTTTAGTATCCAAAGTAGTATTTAGGGTTTTTTTTTTAGATTTTTTTAATTCTTAGTGTATTTTTTTTGAAGTGGCACTTCCTTTAAATGTTCTCAGTAATTTTGAGAAGAGCAAAGATGATAAAGTCAGAAAATATATATATCAGGAAAGCATTTCTCATTTCTCTTGAATTCTCCTAATTTCTCAAAAAAAGCTTCTCCATGAATCTCACCACTCCTGAGAACAGCTTTAGAGTAACCAAACCTGATTTGAAAATACAAACATTGCATATAAAATTATGCAGTAAAAATATTAAAGAAACCTGGGATCAAAATTTAGAACACAATGGTACCCAAATTATAGTACACTATTTATACCTCAGTTTTAAGAACCCAGTTTTCTGATTTTCTGTACAAATACTTTTATCATTTCTATAATTCAAAGAAAAGCTTAAAACATTTAGAGAAAAATATTTTTTTAAGAACAATTAAATTCAGTCCATAGTGGCATCAACTTCAATGACTATCTCTGAAGCCCTCCATAAGATATGATTTAATTTGTTCTATATTTTGTTAATAGTTCATTATTAATAGAAAATTCTTTGTTATTGGCGACTGCTCTTTACACTGCAGAATGTTCAGCAACATCATTGGCCTCTATCTTCTAGATGCCAGCAGCAAGCCCAGAAGAAAACCAAAAATTGAGAGCCACTCTTCTACATTATTTAAGGACAGATTAAATGTGAATATATATGTCCTGCATAAAATTAAATTATCACAAGTGCACAGTACCTTAAGAAGATAAATTATTATACCCAAATTTACACATGTGGTTCATATGCAATAAAATCCTATTTTGGAGAAAGCTTATGCAAATCAGTGGAAAATAACAATTACAGAATATTTTAAAGCATACAGAGAAAAACACCAAAAAGAACATAGCATTTCACAGAAGCACTTAAAACTCTGGCTCTAATGAATAGATCAAATGCTTAGAATTAGCATATCAAGTGGAAGTAAATAGGTGCTTCTGAAATGCTTGAAAAGAATAAATTCTTTTAAGTAGTTTAAATATGTCTTTCAGTGTTGTTTTTAAAGACCCTTTCTTAATGTAAGGTAACTTCATCTCCTGAACTCCTGATAGTGGAATACAAATTAATGAGGTTTTACTGTATCAGAATTATTTTTATAATTCAAAGAGATAGCAATAACAAGAATCTGATGTGGATGTGATCTTTCTCTTTAAACATTTCTATTCTGTTGCACTGACCTTAGCATGCTTGTGCATGCGCATACACCAACACAACCACCACCACCATCTTATCATCATCATCTTTGGAAAATGAGTACTGTTGATCCATGTAATTCTTTACATCTCTCCTCTATAAGTGTCTTGCCTCTATCTTGGAACAAAAGAAAAATACTCCTAGTAACTTGGATAATGATAGAGAAAATGAACCTTTGTTATCAAAATTACATTATATCTACTATGGTGGCATCAGAAGATAAGGCTTGTAAACCACAGTCTCCAAGCTGACTCTATCTCCCTATGACTCCTTCAGGAGATAAGCCCTTCTTATATGTTCCAGAAGAAAATGGGTCTTTGCACTCTATTCACCAAAATGAACCCAGAAGTATTTGTTTTCCTGATTCTAATAATGTGAGCAATAATCCCTACCATGAAATCATCCATTAACCTTGGTGTTTGGAGGGAAGGATGATTATGATTTATTTTAATTCCCTACAAAAGTAGTACTACTGACTTTGCTTCCTATACTTGAGACTCAGACTTAGTGCCCCAATCACCATCAGGGTCATCATCTAACTTTGGAAGAACAGTGATTCATCATAAAGACAATTTTTCAAATCTTTTATATAGCCTTGGAGTGATTCTCAAGTTAATAAAGCAGAATCCAGATTTCTATTCCTCAAAGATCTTAAGGAATTATAAAAGGAAAAAGTTTGCTGTTGCAGTCCCTTTTTATGTGACTTCTGTGTCCAATTTTAAATATACCATCTATCTGTTATCTGCATCAAGGGATCTCCAGGGCTTAGAGAAAGAAAAAGAGAGAGAGAGAGATTATGCCTAAGGTTGGCTGAAGAAGATGAAGATGAGCTCTTTTAAATACTTGGTTATAAAATGTTTGGCAGAGGGGAAAAATGAAAAAGGTTTAGAAAAGTAAGCTAAAAATCCTCTCCTTGGTTTAGGATCATTGGGACAACCCAGGAGAATATCTGTGATTACAGTCTGGCTCTACAGAAAGACATTATAACTTGACTACTTTCTTTGAGAGGGCAATGCCGAAAGGACTCAGACATTTCTATCAGGCTTTGCTCTTTGCATCAGGAGAAAAGTAGTAGCCTTCACAGCTTCCTTACCTTTGTCTTCTGTAACACCAACCCCATTACTGACTACATACTATTTCAAATACACTCTGTTCCAGATGCCAGAGATACTTGTCAACAAGTTATGTTTTCTGGATGGCACCATTTCAGGGAGTATGGTTGTTGTGTAGCAAGTTTAGTGTACATATTTGCCTATAACATAGCTCTAAAGGGATACAATGCATAAGATAATGTCTGACTTTGGAAAGTAAGAGGAAGTGCCAATTTGGTGCAAGAGGATTGGGATGGGGAGGGACATGGGAACCAGAGTTAAGTGGAAGAGGTTTTGATGAGAAACCAGAGGCACAGATGGCTGCTTTGATTTATATATTTATGTAGGGAACTGATTCTCAACCTTGTCTGTACATGCGAATCACCTAAGTAGCGTTTAAAATCCCAATTATATCAAAATCTCTTGGAGTGGGAACCAAACATTGTTATTTTTGAAAGCCCCCAACATGGTTCCAGTGTCAACCAACACTGATAAACACAGCTTTATGGCTGATTAAGGAAGACACATTTGTCTACCTTGGCTGGTATCCAAACCCCACTTCTAAGGAGTTGTGGAAGTCAAGATGCAAGAGATACAGTGTTGTCTGGATGGAGAACTATTGTGTTGTAACCCAAAATAAATGTTCTGTGCAAATTTCTGACCAGGCAGTGCCCCACTGACTTATAATAATTCTGTCTTTGTGGTTTTCTCCCATGTGACTTCGCCATTATTCCAATTCAAACATCTAGGTTTTGATTGTCTTATACATGTGACATCACAAGACACCAGAAGAAATATAAGAAACTCAACAGCATGTAAAGCTAAATGGAAAACTAATCCTTAATAGTTGGATAGTGGAAATTAAAATAATCATTTATTAAATCAGGCCCAAATTTATTATTCATTCTTCATTTGGAGGAAACATGGGTACTAGGTACCTGTTCTGCCATAGCATATTTTATTGGACTTGATCTTAGCAAGAAGGAAGAATAGCAGTTCCTTTTTGATTGTTGTCTTAGCTCCC